TTCAAGAAAGACGGACATGGGGACTGTTCTCCATAGCACTTGTTGTCCAATTTTCGAACAAAACATGACACCGCTTTAGTCCGATCCGGGCCTTCAAGAGATGCGCTAGAGAATATGTTATCATTCGAAGAAAGTTTACGCTCTGCCGAAGGTAGCTGGCCGCTCAATTGACATCGATCAAGGACTTCACTACCATGTCGCTTTCCAAAGCCAACCATGACAAACCAGTTACTAGAAACCAGATCCTATGATAACTCGATGAATTCAACGGAAATTGCTTAGCACCAGATCTAATCGGCGAGACAAAAGGTTTCGCTTACGAGCTAGGTCACTGCTTTTCCAATTCCGAATTCCGGAAGAAGGCTAGAACGACTCTATAATGTTCGCTTGCACGCCTCGATTTCGGGGCGTTCATGTCGTTGAGGGAACCATTCGCGTTAGCCACTTACAGCACTCAAAATTAAGCCATAAGGACAGGAATGGGATTCTGTGTGAGCAACTTTTATGCTCCCTTGCGTTTCTCCCTCTCTCCTGGGCTTATTGTTAGTCCAAGTTGTATTGTTGTTAACCACTAGCGTTTTAAATGCCCTGTTTTGAGTGGCTCCCCCCTCCCCCTTCATGCTCTCCTTCTCCTTCATCACCATGACGGCAAATTTTGGATACAAAACGCGGCAAATTTGCTTTGTACCCGCGCTCTCATTTGTTATAATAAGAGCAGGGTAAAAGGTTGCACCGCGAAAAGTAGGAAACCATGAAGTTGGACGTCGACCACAGCAGGGGATTTGCCAATCTCCCAATATCACTCTCATCAATCAGTGACAATGTCTTTCACCTACTTGTATGATCACTATCTGAAAATTCATGGTTGGAGAAAACAATACACCTTTGACTGTGATGCCTTCCACTTGTGACACAAGCTCCTCGTAGAGTGGATAAGTATGCACAAAAAAGTGTTTTTACATAGTAGAGGCACTACAATCATTGATTGACATTAGTATGGCCTTAATTGGACCTCAGCCGTTGTCGGTTGGTTTCCCATCCCTCCTTATACTCCCCTCCTGTCGCTGCCCTCCAGCTGTCACTGCGGCACCAAGTGGAATGATCGAGAGTGTGCTTGGTAGGTGTTTGTATGGCCGTTGGGGATCTATCACAATCACTTCATTGCACAACATTAGTAGCTCAACTCCTGCTACCTAGTCGATTTTAACCTCGGTTGCTTTATATATGACTTCTTACCTTTCAATTCACGGGCGGAAACTAGACAGACAATACATACTACGTGCATAAACAACACACATAACTATACAATCCGACACACCAAGTTAGCGGTTTATATAATAGAAGGACTCCCTTGAAGGAATCCTTCGCGGAAAATTAGTTGTGATCACTGGAAACAGCACACAAAGTTTCACGCATGAAGATTCGGTTTCCGAAGAGAAACAAACGTACAAAAACTACACTTATGGACAATCGAAGGTAATTCGGGGAGCCAAAGGCGAGGCATGGAAAGAAGTTGGCCTTTGGCCGGCTACGTATCAGGCGACGCAATGAAAGAATCGGGTTAAAGCGCGCGATTTCGGAGAGTAGAGACAAATCGATCGATAGAATAGGATGGAGTAGAAGTGTAAGATGTGAATGCAATAAAGCAGAAGGCCAGAAAGAGTTTCTAGTGAAGGCACTCCAAGAACCAAGTGGAAGCATCCTCCCGTCGCCAGCATTTGTGAAAGACGTCCGTGGGCAATTTGAACGCGTAGCAGCCTTTTCGATTTTTCGAATTTTTAATCAAAACGAAAGCAATACTTTCTGTTCTTTTCATTCTTATCGTGGATAATGAGTCTCAAGCCAGTGATTTATGGCTGAAATAGAATCATGATTTTTCCGCGAAGGATTTCCTTAAGATTGTATAAAGAGCGCGCTCATCCTACAAAAATGGACTGGCGTTCAATGCTGTTATTCCTTTACTTTCATAACTTTTAGCAATTTTGTATCCATTTCTCAAATTCCCGTGCTTTGAAAGCATGGTAGATGTTTGCAAAACAACTTTTCGAAAGCAAAAACCATTCTCGCTAGCCTGCACGCTGCAGAACAACCGCATAGTTAGCCACTGCAATGAGCTTTGTGCTATAAAGCAGATCCGGTGGCGACTAATTGCTAGCGAAAGATATACCAGTTTCGCCGAGTAACAGTTTTGTTGTTTAGCAGTCAACTCGTTTCGATAGCTTTTCTTTGAAAACATGCAAGCGTGACCAATGAGGTAGAAGGTGAAATGGAAGATAAGGGAATGGGAATCGAGGTTATGAAGGCCCGTCTCATATTGCAAAGCTACGGCTGGCTAGGACTGGACCATGGGTGGGAAGTGATCGCTGACAAAAGAAGACGAAGAACATAAAATTTTAGCGACGCTTCTGACGGTACCCACAGCACGAGAACGACGTCTATGTGACACGGACTGGTTCCTGGTGCCCTGTTCACGCTCAAAGGAACGAAGGCCTCGGAATCTACGCAGTTTAGCTGCTTAGATTAGAACCCACATTATGAATGACCCTAACCTAAAGTCCCAACTGCAGGAGGAAAAACGACGGCAATTGGGCGTTGGGGGGGGGGGGGGCGTGGCATGAAACATCTAAGGCATCGAGGAAAGTAGTGAAGAAGACGAAGAACATCCGGCTCCGTGCCCACCTCTTCGATTCCGCTGTCCTTCCTGCCCTAACCTACGCCTCAGAGACTTGGACTCTGCGCAGGCAGGACGAGCATGCGGTCAGCGTTATCCAACGCGCTGTCGAGAGGACGATGCTAGGAGTAACCCTATACACGCAAGTGCAGAGGGAATCCGGAGTTCGGAACTACGCCAACGATCGAAGATCAGGGACGCTGCCGTTTTCGCCAAGGAATCGAAGATAAGGTGGGCCGGACACGTCATGCGATTTTGCGATGACCGTTGGACCAATCGGTTTAACCGAATGGATCCTCGAGACGTCCCAAACGAGGAGCTGACGCCGCCGCCGAGGTTAAGTACTTTTTTGCGAACGCCTTAGACGAAAAGGAATGAAAGGATGAGTCCACTCGACAAGCGCCCGCAACGCGACAGGACGAATGGAACATCACTTGGCCATTACAAACTCTTGACAACAAGCCAGAATTATAACAGATATCACGCAATAAATTCAAACCCATGACCTTGCACTATAACACCCTTTTGAGATCGGAGGCTATTTTTCCGGCAAGAGAAAAAAGGCTTATAAGGAATAGGGGATAGCACTTGAAAAGCGTGCACATTTCTCGAGCTCTCACGAGAAAATATGCAGACTGAGAAAATTTTAACAGAGCGATATTCATAGAAGCCTTAAAGGACTTTTTATCCCCAAGAAGCGTAATAACTTCGTAATCTTGAGATATAGCATATCGGTGCCGTGGATTGGAACTTGCCCATGCTAGGGTAGGGTAACAGAAGGTATGCGGTCATAAGGGGTACGTATATAAGGAAAAGACTGTCTGGGGTAGAAGCTCAGCTTGAGTGAAGAATTCACCAACTTTCATGGAAACTAAGGACAGTGAAATAGCTGCTCACCCTCCATTTCAAAATACTAGAAAAGCGTTGGGTGCAGACCATACACCACAAGTGACGACGGCCTCCACAAAATGTAAATGTTTTCTGCCAATGAAATGATTAGCCTGTTGCAGTTGTATTCTATCAGTTGTCACTAATTACAACTATCATTTACCAAAATCAGCTATCACTATGAACCACTACTAACCAGATTTACTTGGAGGCCGTCGTCACTTGTGGTGTATGGTCTGCACCCGACGCTCTTCTCGTATTTTGAAAGGGAGGTACTTGGTTTTTGTGGCCGCCGTTGAGTGTTGCAGAGGTTAACCCTTACACCTTCCCCACTCTCCCGTTACTCAGTAAACATTCTGTTTACTCAAAGTTCATTAGACCGCTTGAGTGGACCACTTTTTATTCAGGCAAAATGTTCTCACCAAACGAGTATTTCAACGAGACCCATCACTTCCAGCAGCCTCGTCCCTTAACGAATTACGCCGTTAACAAGTTATGTGTCTTTGTAGCCCAGCGCACTATAAGCCGTTAGCGCGGGCGGGGCAGAGCGTGTGGCTACAACATAGTAAACGGGTATGGTAAACAAGCAAAACCAGATTTGTTCAACGATATAAAACCACAGGCTCCTCAAGGGAGGGACTTCACTTCGTTGTTTCATCACTTCCAAACCCTTCTATATTCTTTACTCATTTTGGCCTTTGCGGCAACCACAAGGGATGACTATGACTTTCTTCCCCTCTTTTGTTGAAAAATTACAGTTTCATGAACAAATCTTAACCTTTTTCAAAGCGGTGAAATCCTTGCAAAGTAAGTAGAGTGAAAACTTCTCTCCATATTGCAAACCACGCCTACTGCGCAAACCCCGCCCATCAAAAGACCAAACAAAACCAACTCGCTCGGATGTGCCTTCACGAGGAAGCCTCCACTGTATTGGTTGTATTGGGGGGACGTCTTGCAGGATCAAATCCTGACATCCAAAAAGTTTTCATCGTCTCGCATCAAGCAAACCTTGGTACTCATCGCTAAGCACATTTTTCCTTGGTCCGCGCCATCCAAAACCGTTCCTTGTACTCCGCTCGGCAAATCGCGAATTTACCGAGCGCCGCAACATTTCGTGACCCCAGGAACAGTATCAAAGACCCGACAAGCATTCGTTCAAAAAATCCTGGTAAAAGTTTCAAGCACCCCTTCCGCGTCAGGCTTCAATACTGTAAGATAATCCGACAGTCACCATAAATACTTTGGTCTCCCAGCTGCCCTCAGATCAAAATATTCTTCTCTTGCCTTCTGAGTGTTTGCAGCGCTGATCACGGAGATTAATTTTCGACCAATCCCGCTGGCGGTCGGTCTCACGAAACGCCCAGACTGGCAACTGTTCGTGATAGTGCTTGCAAGGAAAATGTCGATCTACTATTTCTTAATTGACGCGAGCAATTTTCAGATGGGAGCCGTTTTGTACTACAGCGTGCTGGGTACATTCATTTGCACCGGGATTCTCCTCGGCACCACTTTTCTGATTGTGCTCGATATTGTAGATGAAATCGGCGAGTTTCGTGACTTGGTCCAAGAGGATCTCAATCAGTTCAAGGTAGTTCAAAAGCCCACCTTATCTGAACCCAATACTACCTACCATTTGAGAAGTAAAATGAATCTTCAGAGCTATGCTGATGACGCGTGGGTGGTAATGATGACTACGAATCAAGCAGCGTCCGCCAAGCGCAACAGTGTCTTCTACGAGTCCATTGTTCGTATCAAAAGACAGGGATCATACACAGAAGGAGGTGGCAACGTCGCCAGTGGAGGAAATGGGTGTCAATGCGCAGCACAAGCAGCTTCATGCCCTCGAGGCCCGCCTGGTGAGAACCATTCAACGGAGATAACTTCACTGTCTAATCAATCTCATTTGCTTAGGACCTCCTGGACAAGCAGGAATACCAGGAGAGGATGGCCATAACGGAGAGCCTGGACGTACAGGCGGCGTTGGACAAGCTTACATTGGGCTTCACCAACAGGGATGCATCCAGTGTCCAGCCGGTCCTCCCGGCCCACCTGGACCAAATGGTGGACCTGGCCCAGCTGGAGCTCCAGGAAATCCTGGACAAGATGGAAGTGGTGGCGGATCAGGTAGGACTCTCAAACTAAAACTTCTCAAACTACCGTTCAAGAAATAATGTCGCGTGGAATTTTAGGAGCTCCTGGACCTGCTGGACCCCCAGGAGCACCAGGACAGAATGGTAACCCCGGTGCACCAGGACAAGATGGAATACCTGGAGTACCAGGTAGAACTTGCGAGAACGAGTGGAGTGAATTTAGAAATGCTCCTTCTAATATGGTCGTTTTTAGGAACACGAACGAGTAACTATCCTGGCCCAGCTGGTGCGCCAGGACCAGCAGGAGCACCCGGTGCACCTGGACAAAACGGTAGCAGCTATGGAGCCGGGGCTCCTGGACCTGCAGGACCACCTGGGGCTCCCGGTAACCCTGGAGCATCAGGAAGCCCGGGAACTCCCGGACAACCTGGTCTTAGTGGTGCTCCTGGAGCGGACGCCGCTTATTGCCCTTGTCCACCAAGAAGTGGATAGGCTGTCCGCAGCAGGGACGTTTTCTGCTCAACGTATGCCATCTCCACAATCACAATAAATAATTTTGCACCATTTGTTCACTGTATATTCGTGGACCGTTCAAAAAGCTGTTACATCCTTCGTGGTGCCATTTTGAAAGAAAGACATTTCAATGGGATAGAAGTAATGGAGACCTCCTTAACGCCTTTAGAAGGTTCGTCAAGGCCCTATGTGACCTTCTGCCTGCTGAGGGACAAAAAAGGGAATAGTCCGATGATGAGCTGTTTTCGACTATACGCATAGCTACAGTTTCCATTAAAAATCGTGGCAGTGTTGGGTTTCAAAGGCAAGAATCAGGATTAAATTGATGGGTTGATTCCACTCAAATGTGAAAGTAGGGATGGGAGGTGGACCGCCAGTGGAGAAAAAAGGAAAGAAAATCCTGAAATACACAGGAAATACGAGCATTTTGCTCTATGCTGTGGAGAAGTTCAAAAGACAGGCAGGGAGATGAGAGATAATGTGAGCGCGGAGAGCGGTAGAGAAGTCCGAGAAGAGAGAGCATAGCAGATCAACGCAGCGACGCAGACAAGATATCGAACGGTGGGCGGACCATGTTAAGTTTGGTGGAGTCTGTTAGAAGTCCATGGCGCCTAGGGTCCTAGTGACGCGTTTCGATGTAGAAAGGTGGCGCTACCTTTGCACTTGCGTACCCAGCACTTCTAGCCATGGTAAGGGCTTCTTAGGTGGGTCTGAGCCCGAACTTTGCCTTTAAGTCTACAAATG